GTTTAGGGGTGTGGGGTTTAGGGTTGAGGGTTTAGGGTTTAGGGTTTAGGGGTTTAGGGGTTTAGGGGTTTAGGGTTTAGGGTTTAGGGTTTAGGGCTTAGGCAAAACAACACATAAGCGACAATTAGGATAGGGATATCCCACATAAACCGCCTTATAATGAGGCCCAATAGGATAGGGATATCCCACATAAGCCGCCTTACAATGAAGCCCAACAGGGTAGGGATATCCCTATAAAACGTTTATGCTTGTGTCCTGTTCGGGTCCCTCAGATACTGAAGGTTTAGAGTTTAGGGCTTTTAGGGTTTAGGGTTCAGCGCTTAAGGATTTTAGGGCTTTAACTTCTAGGGCTTAGGGATATATAAACCATTCTAAACCCTAAACCCTACGCTTTGTACGGGTGGGCTGAAGGTTTACATTTGGGCTTTTTTCTGGGGAGATTCAGGAGTTATGTAGGATTCGGGGGACCCTTGAAAATATAAACACTCTCAACAAAGCCCCTTTTAAGAGAGCCACACGTAGGGTTTAGAAGGGTCCCCTTTAAGTGGTCTTCCTTATACTACCTAGGAGGATTCTTGTTGGGGCATTTGGGGGTTCGGGAGGGTGTTTAGAGACCCAGACTAAGCAGGGCGTGGCAGGGCATTGTTTAGGGTTTGGGGTTTAGGATGATTTCGCATGTGTATTCGAGGCAATATATCCTAGACCGCAGCCGGATAATCCCGCAGCACTAAACCTCGAAACGCACTACACCAAACCCCGAAACCCTAAACTGTAAACTTAAACTCTCTAAACCCTAAACCCTAAACCCTCTAAACCCTAAACTCTGAAGCCTAAACCCTGAACCCTAATTCCCAACCCCGAAACCCTAAACCCTAAACCCTAAAACCATAAACCCTAACACACTAAACCCTGTAAGCCCTAAACCCTGAAGCCTAAACCTTTTTTCCAGCCCTGAAACCCTAAACCCTGAACCTTTAACCCTAAACCCTGAACCCTGAACGCCAACACCCAACCCTGGACCTGCAGCCATAAAGCCTAAACCCTAAACCCTTTTCTATACCTTAAAACCCTCAAAGCCTAAACCCTGCACCCGACGCCATAAAGCCTAAACCCTTAACCCTCTACCTTAAAACCCTAAAAGCCTAAACCCTGCAACCCGAAGCCATAAAGCCTAAACCCTTAACCCTATACCTTAAAACCCTCAAAGCCTAAGCCCTGAACCTGCAGCCACAAAGCTGCAAAGCACTCGATGAAACCCAAAAGCCTCAACTCGAAACCTTCAGACCTGGCTCCTCGGGCCTGAACCTTGGACGAGATCAACTTATGTATATATATATATATATTATGTATATAATATGTATCTTATATAATATAGAGCATATGTTATATGATATATGCTATGTATATATATATATATGTAAGTATATATGTATGTGTATATGTATATAGAAAATAGATAGATAGATAGATAGATAGATAGATAGATAGATAGATCGAGAGAGAGAGAGAGAGAGCTTTTAGGGTTTAGGGTTGAGGGTGTTTTAACTCTACATCCTTTCCCCTCTTGCAAACCCTGATCCCTAAACCCTACTTCCAATCAACCCTGAATCCTAAGCTCTTGACCCGGACGCTGCCTTCCGCACCGCCGGGGGCGGCTGAAGACCGGCGAATGTAATGCTTCCAGAGACAAATAGCTGCAGGTTCCCACAAAGCTTTATAGGCCTGCTCTCAAGGATCTAGAGGGGTTTAGGGTTTAGGGTTTTTAGAGGTTCCTTTAATATCAAGGTCTACTACAAGGGATCTAAAGGGTTCCTTGAAGGGCTCCTCTACGAGGGCTTTGGAGGGCTAGTCGAAATTAATTGGTCGAGCTTGTTGGGATGAGATGCTGCCAATCCCACAAAGAGCAGAGGTCAATTGGACTTGGGCTTTGGGTTTTGGGATTAGGGTTGAGGGTTATAGGGGTTAAGGTCACAAAGGGTGTGGGGTTTGGGGTGGGGCCTGTGGAGCGTATGGGCTTGACAAGGCTCAGAAGGCTAATAGGGTGTACCCACCCCGGGAGGATCTGAAAAGTAGATCCCCTAATTAGGGACCCTACCTACTAAAGGGTAATTTTTGGAACCCCCTTAAGGGATCTACTTTTTGGATCCTCCTGGGGTCTGGGTAGGGGTCAGTGTTCAGGGTCAAGCAGTTTGGGATTCGGCAAAAGTTCTAGAAGGGCGTTATTGCTATAGGTTCTGTTGGGCTTTTTATGGGTAGGTCTCAGGGTCCCCTTTGGGGTTTTTTATTCTGTAAACCGAAAAATCCAAAACCGTACACCATAAACCTAGAACCATAAACCCTAAACCCTAAACCGCAAACCGTATCAGCGATTCAACAAGTTCTGCGTCCTTAGGGTCAGATGGGGCTGGCCTCGGCTGCGAAGGTCTTCTTGTCAGGGCTGTGAGGAAGGGGGCAGGGCTGCCGAGATCCCGCGTGATCCCATGTTATAGGGTGAAGGGTTTGAGGTTTTGGGCTTCAGGGCTTGAGGGTGTAAGGTAGTATCCCTCCTTAGGATTCAAAGCTTCAATCTTGTTCTGTATGAAGCAGTGCTAAAGCCGAGATACCCCCAAACCAAGCGCTTGAGCGGCAAACCAGGATGTGAGCTGAACTGTACCTAGACCCTCACATGTAGTACCATTGTCTTTGGTTGCCTTAGTTTCTTATTACAGGGTCCTAACTATAAAATAAGTCATCCAAAAAAATACTACATTTAAGGGCCTATAGGTAGGTCCCCCAAAGGCTCCACATATACGTACTACCATTATGGAATCCGGTCCCCAAAGCCAGAACACGGATGGTCTTTTGGGGCCTAATTCCATAATAGTGGTATATATGGAGCCTAAAGGTCAGAGCAATTTCATCCAGGTTTGGGGGTTTAGGGTGTGGGGCTTTAGGGTTTAGGGCTTTAGGGTTTAAGGCTTTAGGGTTTGGGGCTTTAGGGCTTAGGCTTTAGGGTTTAGGGCGTAGAGCTTCTAGGATTGAAGGCTTAGGGTTGAAAATCCTGTACCCTCAACCCTTAAAAGTTGCTTGGGCATTGAGGCTAAGTGTTTCGGGTTTGGGGATTGGGCATTCTGTGGTGGGAACGGCCCATCGTTGTGTGACTTCCGGTAATGTAGGGGCTGGGGGGTTCCTGAATATATTTATAGTAGAATGGGCCCCAAAACCCTATTCTAATTATTAAGGCCCCTATATTTGGGGCTTTAGGGTTTGGGATCTAGGGCTGAATAAGGCCCCTATATTCTCTTGGAGGATGGAGAAGGATGGATAAGCCCAGAGAACCCAATACCCCTTAATTAAGGAATATACCTTAAACCATAATAGTAAGGCCCCAATAATTTAAGGTATGTTCCTTAATTAAGGGGTATTGGGCTCTCTGGGTATATTATCTTGGAGGATGTAGAAAAATGGAGAAGGCCCACCGAGGATCGCGAGTTCTTTTTCTTGCATTCACCTCTGCTCAGGGGTAAACCCTAAACCCTAAACCCTAAACCCTAAACCCCTAGACCCTAAACCCTAAACCCTAAACCGTCTCCAGGACCATCTCTGCCGGGTAGTTCAGCCGTCGGACTCGTCGACTCCCAGAGAACCCAATACCCCTTACTTAGGGAATATACCTTAAATCATAACCTTAAGGCCCCTATCCTATATAGTTGAAGGTATTTAGGGAATATACCTTAAATCATAACCTTAAGGCCCCTATCCCATATAGTTTAAGGTAAAATCCTTAATTAAGGTGTATTGGGTACTTTGGGCTCCCACTGCACGCACACCTTCGATCGGTCCGGACGGACTTGGGGGGAGTTGTTGGGTTGCCTCCATCTCGCACGCCAGTCAAAGCGGTGCTGGGCAAATGAAATCACAGGATCCGGCTCTCCGCCAAGCGGGGACTGTAGTCTCTTCCGGATGGCTTGATCTCCAAATGGCGATTCTAGAGTGGCTGATGTGGCGTCCAGCGCCAAGCGAGACTGCAGGCTCTTCCGGATGGCTTGATCTCCAAATCGCGAGCCTAGAGAGGCTGATGTGGCGTCCAGCGGTAGTGTCGGAGAAGAGTCCTCACTGCCCCAGTAATCCATATCAATGAAGGCTCCAACTTTCAAATTACTGCCATATTACAAGAGGCCAAAAATAATTGAAAGTTTTGTATTTCCTTAACCCTAAACCCTAATGGAGAACTAAGTGTCGGATTGCCTGCCATGGCAAACTTCAGTCCCAAAGGAAGCGACGGATCGCGTAGTCGCGTTGGCCAGAGCCACGTCTTTGCTCCAGGATTGAAGATCACATGGTAGAGATGCTCAAAAGCCGTAGTAAGCCCCTTATGGAAGGAGTCAGCTCCCCGTGCTTCTTCTGAGGAACTCAGCTCCCTCCAAGAAATAAACTTCGTTCCAAGCAGCAGTTGGTAGTTGCTGGCGCTGCAAAGAGCGCGCCAGGCATTTTGCCAAAACGCCTTCGGCCTGCTCTGTGCAGCTTTCCGGCTTGCGATGTACTGGGCAAAGTCATAGCCCCCATAGTCCTTCAACAATTCTTTCAGAAGTCTTGTAATGTAAATTCAACATACCCATTAAGTTTTCTAAATCCTGCAGCATTCTAGGCCTAAACCACACACAAAAGCTCGCATAGTGGTTTACAGCCCTAAGCGGCCCTAAACCACCCACGACAACTCACATAATGGGCCCAGAGGTCGTCTTCCGGAAGCTGCGGTGGTCGGTCAAAGAGGAGTTCCCAGGCGAGCTCGACCCACTGACAGTATGGACCCGTCGGATCCCTTGTCGTGTAACGCTCCAGGAAGGAATCCTTTGTCCAGTGTGCTTGGGGAGTGATAGGTTAATTCACCTTTCAATATTAATATACAGCCATTGTAATGCAACAAAAAGGGTTAAAGTCTACGGTGAATGTAGGAGCCTGATTACGAAACCCTGGGCCGTTATTAGGGTTCCTGATATGAGACCTACTATCGGAGCTCTAGGACCAGAGTTTCTTAATCAGGTTCCTACACTACTCCCAGAGAACCCAATATTCCTTAATTAAGGAATATACCTTAAATCAGAATATGAAGGACCCTATAATCTAAGGTCTATTCCTTAATTAAGGAATATACCTTAAATCATAATATGAAGGACCCTATAATTTAAGGTCTTTTCCTTAATTAAGGGGTATTGGGTTCTCTGGGCTTGCTTCACCACCATGGTTCTCCTCGGAAAACAGAGCGCTTCCTTGCCCGAGTCGAAGGATCCTCTAGACTTTGAAGTAACCAGGGAGAAAAAAGTATAGATTTCTATTTCATAATGGTTCCCAAAAGGAACAGGTCCCCCAAAAAAGTATTCAAGTATGGTACTCCAGAACCCAGTCCTTAAGCATCCCTATGATAGTCCCTGAAGGTCCCTTATAGTAGTCCCTATAACCCATTCCCCCATTCCCTACTAAGCACCAGACAGCCCTTAAGCGGGCGCATGCGACAGTAGCTCTGGATCTCAGAACCGACGCGTCCTGAAGCGTCGACTGGCCCGTTGAAGCGACGACCCAGGTGTAAGAAGCCAACGTCGGGATAAAGCCTTACTGGTACCTAGCCCTAAACCCTAAGCCCTTAACCTTAAAGGGGGCGGTGGGAGAGGAAATCCCTGTTGGAAGTGCCTATATAATCCGTATAGCTATAGGACCCCCCCCATCTATTCCCTGCTCCACCCTCCCCTATATAAGAACTCCCAGGAGGCCTCAAGGCTAGGGAGTTGAGCACTGACACGAGGGCAAAGATCTCGATGTGCTCATAGCCGTCCGGGTGGAGGATCATCATAAAATCTGGAAGGTCGTCGTAGTGCCTGAAGACGTGGTGCAAGTTCGGCGCGACTTCGCCAGTAGGCAGCTCCTCCAAAAACGGCACCAGAAGCGTCCTAAACCCTAAACCTTCAACCCTAAACCCCTAGGGCAGCTCCTCGTAAACAAAAGCACCAGAAGAGTTCTTGCAAACCCTAAACCCCTAGGCAGCTCCTCGTCAAAAAAAGCACCAGAAAAGTTCTTGTAAAGCCTACAACCCCTAGGCAGCTCCTCGTAAAACAGCACCAGAAGAGTTCCCCGAAACCCTAAACCCTAAACCCCTATACCCTAAAAGCCCTAGGCAACTCCTCGAAAAACGGCACCAGAAGAGTTCGACGGAAGTGTCGGGCCACTCGGAGAAGCGACTCGGGCAGTTGTCGGAGGGCAAACGCAGAACCTGGCAGTTCTGAACCGGTGCGAAGGTCCAGCTCTACCTCAGGGTTTGGGTTTAGGGTTTAGGGTTTAGGGCTTAGGGTTTAGGGTTCAGAGTTTAGGACACTACCTCTACATCATTCTCCGGGCCGTAGGCAGCAGATTCACAGAATCGGAAGCAGACGTCGTAGATGTAGAGATCGATCACATCGTTCAACGGCCGTGTTTCCTGTAGCACCGAACGCTCCATCGTGTCTAGGTGCTCCATGTCATGATCACCGCATACGGGCATCACAAGGTTCACGTTGAAGCCATGCTTCTTCCTGCGATTGGCCAGAGATGCCAGTTCCCTTACCTGGGAGTCGATGCGCAGGAAACTTTCCCGGATGCTGTTGCTCGTTACCTGTCTTGTAGATTTGGGGGCCCGAAAAATCTTACGTGTAGAAGTTATAGAAGCCCTAAACCCTAAACCCCGGACCCTAAACCCCAACCCCTAAACCCTAAACTTTAAGGGAAACTCTGAAGCTTCCCCAAACTGCCACGGAGTTACATTCAACCAATTTCCGGCACCCGCACGAAGTTCCGGGAGACTCCCGTTGCTGGCCGGCGCCAGTTTGAAGTATCCCTGCCTCATGTGGGAGTTTCCGGAAAGAAGGGTACCAAAATTTTGGGGTCCTTACAATAAGGATCCAACTATTTAGGGCACTATATCAGGGTCCCGTATTATCGGGAACCCACATGTTTAGGGTTTAGGGTTTAGGTCATGAGCAAGGACGAAATGAGCCCCTAAAAGGGTTCAGGGGAACCTTAAAAGGGGGCTTAGGGTTTCAGGTTCGTATACCATTTTGGGATTCATGGTGTACCTAGACCCCCCAACTGCTCTCCATTATATCACATTCTACCCCAACTACCCACTATTAACGACCATAAAGGCTCTAGGGGGGGGGTCCTGGAAAGGCCCCTGCTTCTCGGGGTCGTTTGGGGGTAGAGGGCAGGCCACCAATACAGTAGTTGATTGCCCCCTCCTGCCCCTCCCTGTGCCCAAGGTGCAGGCTTCGCCAGAACTCTTTGACGCTGGCCAAAGCTGCCAGGGTGTGCCTGGACTTTGAAATAACCAGGGAGAATATGATGTTATAGTATGCTATGGTAAACTATGGTATATCATCGTATGTTATAGTATATTGTAGTATATAATATTAATAGTGCAGTAGAGTACAGACTTGTCTTTCATATATAAAAAAGCATCAGTAGAGTCTGGTACTCCGAAGAGCCCAGGAGCATGGGGGGAGTGAAGATGCTGTCCCTCTCGATCTGGAGGAGGTTCGCCTCTCTTCTTCAACAACCAGGCCCAACAACAAGTTCAATTTTTTTTAGGACCGACCTAATATATAAAGCCGAAAAGCTTAAAGTCCTGCCGCTAACTATCCGAACCCTAAACCCCTAAACCCCTAAACCCTTATTATCTGAGTTGCGAGCATCATGGATGGAGGGCACAACTCCAGGCCATTCACCTTTCGATGACTCATGCCTTGGGTTTTCCAATGATTGAGGGTTTCGGGTTTAGGGCTTAGGGTTTAGGGGTTAGGGTTAAGGGTTTAGTGGTCTTAAGAATTCGAAGAGGGTTTTTTGGGGGTGTTCCTTGTGATAGTTATGGGCATACCATACCTCCGCACCCTATTCCAGTTTATATTAAGGCCCGTATGTTAGCCCGGTGATAATAAGGCTACCCTTTCTCCTACTGTCAAGGGAACCCCAAACCCTAAACCCTAAACTGTGATGAACCTAGAAGCCTGTTTGGATTTCCAACATGGTGGGCAGCGCATCCCCAGTGCGGTGATAGTAAGCCACGTAGCCGCCCAGCTGATCCGGCCGAAGCCGGGGCACGCCGAGACAGTAACCCTGGAGCTGCAAGAATGACTCCTCATAGTACCTGGACCCTTAAATGTAATACTTTTTTTGGTTACCCTAGTTCTTATTATAGGATCCCAACCATAAAACAGGTCATCCGAGAAAAAAGTACTACGTTTAAGGGTCTAGGTACAGCCTCTGATGACAGCCTTTAAGAAGAGGCTCTGGCAAGAGATGCGTTCTAACTTCTAGACCCGGCTTCTTGCAGCAGCTCTTCATGAGCGCCCAGGGGTTCTTGCCCCATGCATCGGAGGCGCACATTTGTGGGAGAGTCAATCCGCAGCATGTCGACGTGATTATCGGAGATGGCCAGCACGCAGACTCCTTTCGAAAATCCCAAACGTCCCAAATGGGCAAGCCAAATCCGCCCTGTGGGAGGGCAGATGACTTCGTCGTGCAGCACCGCTGAAAGGTCAGCTGACCATACCAACACGGGGATGTCCGACCAAGCGAGCAGCAAACATCCCGGAAGAGCCAGCTCGTCCGCCGTTCGATCATCACTTCGGTGTTCGCCGGTTCATTCCATTCCCGCAGTAGATGCCTATGGAAACATCGGGCATCACCTCGGAAACCATACTTGCTACCCTTTAGCAAGGAAACATTCCAGGTAGGTTTCCACAGAAGTGGCACATTGCCATCGCTGGTTTGGAACAGCCAGGCCCAAACAAGCCAGTGGCGAAGCGCGTTCGACATTGCGGCTTATCACGGAGGTCGGGACACCGAGTAAAAGCACGACATTATAGTCCCAATATAGGTATAGCATGGATCATGACGACAAACCCCCCTGATGCCCATAAGCCCTGTAAACCCTAAGCCCCTAAACCCTATCCGAACCTCTAAACCCCAAACCCTTAAACCCTAAACCCTATTCGAACCTCTAGACCCCCAAACCCTAATTGTTTAAAGGCCTCTTGTAGCAGAGCAAGCACCTGCCGGCCCAGGGAGCCTTGAAATATCGGAGATCGGAGGGTTTAGGGTTTAGGGGTTTAGGGGTTTAGGGTTTAGGGTATAGGCAGAATATAGGGGCCTTAATAATTAGAATAGGGTTTGAGGGGGTTCCTTTAAAGGATTCCTTAAATGGGTTCTATAAGGGTTACTTTGAGGGTTTCGGGTTTAGGGGCCTTAAGAAGTAGAATAGGGGTTTTGAGGTGTATTATACGATCAGTATGATAAGGAACCCCCACAATGGTATTCAGGCCCCTATATTACTTTAGGGGCTTCATGTTTATATTTCGGGGCCCGAAGGGTTATAACAGGGTTCCTTTTGGAGGGGTCCATAACGGCCAACGGTTCCAATAAGGGTTCCATAAGTTTGAAGGCCTCCAGAGTTCGAACAGGGTTCTACTTTGGGGGGGGGGGGGGGGGGNNGTTTAGGGTTTAGGGTTTGGGCGGTATACTTCTAATATTCGGGGCTAGAAAGGGGCTAGTACCCTAAACCCTAAACTAAACCCTAAAACCGGGCACGTACTACGGTTGATGATATGAATCCTACATTACCCATAATAAGGAATATACCATAATTCCCATAGTTTAGAGTCTAAAAGGTAATGCAGGATTGATATCATCAACCGGATCAAAAGTAGTAATTATTCCGAGCCCTTCCTTACCAGCAACAAGACACAAAACCTTCCAAGATTCCGACCCCTTTATTGCCAGCAACAAGACACAAAACCTTCCAAGATCCCACACTTAAGGAATACACCTTACCTTATCGCAGGATACCAAATTTGATTTTGGTTATATTAATGAGGGAATATACCTGAAACTACAATGGGATCCCAGTAATGATCTAAGTTGGAACCTAAACCCTAAACACAGAAGTGAAGGATTTTGGGAGGTCTGGGGCCAGTCTGCTTGAACGCTGAACCGCATGCTGCCACCAACACATCCATAATACGGGTTTAGAGTTTAGGTTTTTGGGTTTTGGATTTAGGGTTCAGGGTTTAAGGTTTCTGAGATAGTTCGGTGGTGTCAGGAGTTCTGTAGGCGTGAACCCTGAGCACCATCCCGAAGAGAAGCCCAAACACCTCCCGCAACCTTGGACACTGCACCCCCCAATCCGAGCCTAGGGATTGTGACCATATCCTGCAAGTTCTTCTTGTAAGTATAAAAAATACACAAGTGTAATCTAACTGTATATATATATATATATATACAGCATATATATATATAGAGCTATAATGTTATGGGAGCCATCATCGAAAGTAGGTTTGGGGAGTTCAATGTCACAATGAGTCACGACTGTGGATCTCTCTGTTACCTCCTTAGCGGTTTCGCGCTCTCAACCCAGATATGCAAGTTTAGGGTTTAGGGTTTAGGGTCGAGGGCTGTCTGTTCAGTAGTCCATCGCCACTAACAGAAGGACCGTTGCACAGCTCAGGGAGAGAGAGAGAGAGAGAGGCAGCGGGAGCAGGGTAAGGGAAAGAGGTAGAAAAAACAACAACCAGAGAGTGAGAGAGAGAGGGAGGGAAAAGAAAGGACTGGAGCCAGGGAAGATACATATTATGCAGGTCAGGATTTAGGCTCTGAAAATGGCAAAATGGTGATTCCTGCGCGTGCCCCCTTTAAGCGGGGGAATCACAAAATGGTGATTCCCGCGCGTGCCCCCTCTCTCCACCACCACCCGCGGGGGAATCACCATTTTGGAAGATTTTGGCTCGGAAAATGGCAACACGGTGATTCCAGTGCGTGCCCCCTCTCCGCAAAGAAGCGGGGGAATCGCCATTTTGGTAGACTTGATTGTTAAAGTTTGCCAAAATGGTGGCCGCCCTAAACCCTTGTCACTGTAAGAAAAAGGCTTGTCGTTGTGGCTGGAAAGCTTGTCAGTGTGCACTTAAAACCTGTCGTGGTAAGGACCTACTCTGCCCAAAGTAGACACAACAATGGCCCAAAACCTGTAAAAGGCTATTCTTTTACATACTTTTGGGGTCCAGGTAGGGTTTAGGGAGGCCTTACGCACGTTAAGCCTTGGAAACGGAAAGTGGGGTTTGAAGTACGGTCCCCCGAACGAGCACGAATGTTACTGGTCTGTCGTCAGCGCTTCGACAACATATTTTTGCAAATGCCGTGCGAGTCTTGTTCTGCACCGCTGCTGAGACCTTCTACATCGGTCTCAGAAGATCCTGCACAGCGCTACTGTCAGCACCATTGGCAGCACTACCCCCGGTCACGACGGATTTGCAGCAAAAGCACAGCCAGAGGCCTGGATCTGTTACACGTTATTGAGCTGATCCTGCAAGGCACTACTGTCACCACCAAAGGCAGCACTACCCCAGGTCACGACGGATCCATCGCCAAGAATGGCAGCAAAAGCACCGTCAGAGGCTTGGATCTGCTGCACGTTCTTCAGCTGATCCTGCACGGCACTACTGTCACCACCAAAGGCAGCACTACCCCAGGTCACGACGGATCCATCGCCAAGAATTGCAGCAAAAGCACCGTCAGAGGC